AAGTACACTCTGAATTTGATCAGAGCGTACCGCATTGCCAGGAGCTCCTTGTCGTAGACTGGGTATTCTTCTCGGCTGGCTTCAGTTGGCGCGACTGATAGCTGATAACGCGTTCGTGTTCGTCGTCATCGAACTGCATCAGCGCACAGCCGATGGCAAAATCACTCGCGTCGCAGACGACGTGGAATGGCTTTGAGTCATCAGCAAGCTTCAGGATCGACGCAGACGCCAAGCTCTTCTTCACCGAGTCGAATGCAGCTTGGTGGTTCGATTTTCACTCCCAGATCACGTCTTTCTTCAGCAGCGAGGACAGCGGCTGGATCAACCCAGCGTATTTTTCGTGTACTTGTGCAAGTAATTGGCCATGCCAAGCCACTGACGCAACTCAGTGGGGCTTGTCGGCGTTGGACAAGTACAGATAGACGATACCTTCTCGGGATCCGCGCGCACACCGTTCTTGCTCACGTAGCATCCCAACACCGGAATCTCCGGTGCGCAGAAGACACATTTCTTCAGGTTTGCGTAGAGCTTGTTCTCTCGCATCACCTGGAAGACTTGTCTCAGGTGTTTCAGATGTACTTCCACGGCACTGAGGTTGCCCTCAGCGCGGCTATGCACGAAGATGTCGTCGAAGTAACTCGGCGCGAAGTCTCGAAGCGGACGAAGCACATGGGAGACCATGCGATTGAAAGGTGGCAGGCGCGTTCTTGAGACCCTGTGGCATCACGAGCCACTCCCAGAGCATCCCGCTCGGTGTACTTACGGCGGTGAGAGGCACATCAGATACTCTCATCAGGATCTGATAGAATCCATCGGTCAGGTCAATGGCGATGTAGATGACGCTACCAGCCAATGGAGTCCAGTATTATGTCCTTCCGAGAGATCGGAGTCTGCGCGGGGATGGTGGCATCATTCAACTTGTTGAATGCGTGAACAATACGCCATCCCCCTGTAGCTTTCTTCACACAGAACGTTGGACTGGAATGGGGAGAGGTACTCTCACGCACGTGACCCGCCTTTCGGCGGCCCTCGAAGAAGTCATCGATCGCTTTCACTTGATCACGAGGAAGTGGCCATTGTCTGGTGACGCAGTACTTCGTACCTGGCGCGAGGTCGATCTCATGCTGAACCCCACGATCCGCCGGTAGCTCGGCGGGGATCTCATCCGGGAATACGTCGGCGTACTCGCAGGCGGTGTCGTATACGGATTCGCCGACTCCCGCAAGGCCTCCCAAGACTGCGTTTGGAATCGTTCCTCTCGAGCAGACTTAGGTTCAGCACCTAGCGGACGTGAACGTTCACTGTCCGCTGCGACCGCATTTGCTGACTCATCCACCGAGACTGCCTCGGTGACCAAGCATACTTGCTCGACGTCTCCATCTCCAGCCTTGAGGTCCCGAAGAAAGTTCTTGAAGAATCAAAAAGCAACGTCGCTATGGACGCTTGGCTGCCACAAGCCAGTTATTCCTGTGGTAACTTTTCTGACACCTCTAGCTTAAAATTCAAAAGAACTAAAGGATCGATAGGCCACGCTTACACGGTTTGTATTCATACTGAAAATCAAAATCAAGTGATCTTTTACCCTTTTGTTCTACATGAGATTTCTGTTCTCATTGAGCTCACCTTAGGACACCTGTGTTATCATTTAACAGATGTGCCGCCCCAGCCAAACTCCCCACCTGACGATGTCTTCCACGTAGCTCACCCAGGCAAAAGCCCAAGTTTACAACTAGAGCTGAGCGACCGCGAGGCCACACAGATGCTACATCATGGTATAAGTAAAACAACATTGAGAGTAGTGGTATTTCACAGACCGCAGAGCCTCCCACTTATTCTACACCTCCCAAGTCATTTCACAACGTCAGACTAGAGTCAAGCTCAACAGGGTCTTCTTTCCC